ACAAATTGGGTGTACAAATACAAACAAATAATCACCCACCCACCTCTCTCTAAAACAGATCTCCTAACACATAACAATTTATCCAATGCATTAGTTATACACAGTTCAATAATAAATTCAACCACAACTTCAATCTTAAGAATGTCACAATTATTAAAAGTGAAATTAACTTACTTAGACAAAAAGTTCTTGAGAGTGCAATTACCAATTTTTGCCAAAATGTTAACTTATGCCCCAATTTTTTCAGATATCTCCTTCCTTAAAGAAAATATTTAAGATTGGTATAATTTATTTTTTTAATGCGGTTTTGTGTTCCTGTGTGCGTTTGTGCACATGTACAATGCTGTTCGATAAAAGTAACTCACCTGTTTTTTTTTTACTAAATGTTCTCTTCTCTGATGAAACGAAAGTTGAGCTAAATTCAAAGGATAAGCAATCTAAAATCTGAAGAAGAAGCTTTGAAAGCTCTTTGAATTTAGCAGTAAGTACTGTCAAGCATCCGTTCAGTATAATGTTCTGGGAATGCTTTTCTTTTCATGGAACTGGTTTCTTAAAACCTATTGAAAAGAACCTCAGGAGCGAGCAGTACAAGAGAATTTTAGAGTCTTTTCTGCTCCCTTCTGCTGAAAGGGTGCAAATCGACCCCACCAAGCTCATTTTTATACAGGATAATGCTCCCTGTCACAAATCAAAATTGATGAAGGAATGCTTTGATGAGAAGCAGGTGAGTGTTATGACATGGGTGCTCCAATCTCCTGACCTCAACCCCCATAGAAAACTTATGGAGCATGTTGCTCAACTGCTTTCTCAAGAGCCTGTACTTTATAATGCCTCCATAAGTTTTCTATGGGTCAGGAGATTGGGGCGGCCATATCATAACACTCACCTGCTTCTCATCAAAGTATTCCTTCGTCAATTTTTATTTGTGAAGTAAATATAAAAGTGAACATTGAAGTTGTTATGAACGCGCGTGTGGTTGCAGTCTCATAACTACCAAATGAAATGCCTAGAATGAGTTTTGATTCACGGTCCGTAAATGAATATACGTGTGTGTGCGGCACATGGAGAAACTGGTGATGCGATAAGAAAAGAGTAATTTGCTACTCACGGTTGGCTTGAAATACCATTTATTCACAGGAGAACATTACAACATATATTTAGGTATGTACAAATCATGGTCCCAAGTTACTGGGTTGTGTGTCACAACTGTTGGGACAGGAGAATATATAGCGTCCTTATTGTCTGGCAGCCATGTCCCAATCTGCTCCCTTTTTTGTGCGTCCCGCCTCTCAAAGTCGCATTGATCACATGACTCTGTGGTTTTGACAGGGGCAAAAGGGAGGTACTCTCTTTGAAACAGGAAAGAGTTCTTTCCTTTGGAATGTATTTCTTTTGTCCGTTCTAACAGAAGTCAACTCAGAGATGAAAGTCTGTTTCTTGCTAGATGTAATCGTCAGTTGAGTGAGAGACCAACAGAACCCCTTGTAAACACCAAAGATGAACTTAAGGCAGGGATTATGGGAGCAATCATGAAAATAAACAAACGGTACTATTCAGAAGAGTTGCAGGAGAGTCTGAAGTCATCTTGACGCCATGATTGAAGCCAATGACAATTTTATTGAATGAATTTACTCTTTATTATTTCAAGATATTTTTGTGTCATTTTTCTGTTAAAATGAGATGCCAGTGTTATTTTTATTTTTGCATCATTTAGACGACAATTTATCCATTGCACCCTGTATGTTTGTGCGTGTGTGTGTGTGTGAATGTGTACATATACAGTGGGGGGAAATAAATATTTGTACACTTGAAAAATTGTATTTTTATAAATGTAAAAGCCTTAAATAAAACAAATCTCAGCACATTTTATGTATAAAGACACATACTATTAAAAAATAATAATAAGCTTAATTAATTCTTATTCTAACAGAAATTAATACATTTTTTTTAATTCTAACTAGTGAAAAAAAGTATGCAAAATCAATTATTAGAATAAAAAATCAATTAATTATAGAAAAAAATAATCAATTAAATTTATGTAATTAAAAAAGTAGCCATTATCAGAGCATTCTGCAATTTCTAGTCTTACAAGAAGGTTCTAATAATGCCTAAAGGTAAAGAATTGACTATTTCACAAAAACAACACATTTTGTCTCTTTGGAAATATGGAAACAGTTACAGAACGATTTCTAACAACCTGAATATTCCTTTTACTACAATTGCTTCGTTCATTGCAAGGTTTAAAACTCGTAGCATCATCGAAAACCAAAGACAAACCGGTGCTCCGAGGAAGATTTCTCTAAGATCAGCAATGATATTAGGACACCAGATTCAACAAAATCCACAGGTTACCTGAGAAGAGCTGCAGGAACATCTGCGTGCATTAAGGATTAAAGTAACCAAACGTACAATAAGTAATGAACTACAAAAACAGTCTGAAATAACGCATCCCAAGGAAGATTCCACTGTTCTTGAAATGACACAGAGATGCTAGGCTAAAATTCGTTAGAGAGCATAAGGATAAAGAATATTCATTTTGGGAAAAAGTACTATGGACAGATGAAACTAAAATAGAGTTGTTTGGTCATAATTATCGAAATCATGTGTGGAGGAAGGACAGTGAAGCCTACTTACCAAAGAACACGTTGCCAACTGTAAAGTTTGGTGGTGGCAGTATCATGATCTGGGGCTGTTTTTCTGCAAAAGGTGTTGGCAGAATATCAATAATAGGTGGCAAGATGAATGCCAAAAGCTACCAGAAAATCCTGCAAGACAATGCGTTCTGTTGAGAGACTTCAGCTACCTCCTGATTGGGTTTTCCAACTGGATAATGATCCTAAGCATACCGCTAGATTTACAAGGAAATGGTTAGCTGAAAGTAACGTTGATGTCTTGCAATGGCCAAGTCAGTCCCCAGACTTGAACTTAATTGAGAATTTATGGTGATATTCGAAAATTCAAATTGGGAAAAGAGCACCAACAAATATCAAGAATTTGAAGACAATATGCCAAGAAAAATGGGACAAAATACCACTCAATGCGTGCAAATCATTAGTTGAGACATACAGGAATAGACTGGTAGCTGTTGAACTCAATAAAGGATATTCCACAAAGTATTAAATTAAGTTAATATGCTTTTTTTGTTTTGTACAAATACTTTTTCATCAGTTAAAATGAAAAAAATGCATAAATTTCTGTTAGAATAAAAATTAATTAAGTTTATTAATATTTTTTAATAAAATGTATCTTTACACATAAAATGTATCAAAATTTGTTTTAGCTTTTACATTTATAAAAATACAATTTTTCAAGTGTACGAATATTTATTTACCCCCACTGTATATATAATCGCATTAATACTTCTGATTGATTCTATGTGTGATTATTTCTTTGTATGTAAATTATATGCTGCCTAATGTTTTATGTTTGTAAAAAACTATCAAACCGCAGTACATAAAAAATTCCTATAAAAAAAAAAAATAAAAAACTACTACTAAGACATTACACTATATTATTGAACTATATACTTAGTTCATGACATAAAAACTGAATACACTTGTAAAAATAGAATACGTGGATTTAACACATCACAAGAAATATTTAAATAAAATTCTCACTTAAAATTTTGAAAAACTTAGCGTTGCGTCTTTGCGTTCGAGATCTTACACAACCGTCAATAATAGCAGATATTCAAAAAACATATTTCGGTCGACATACAGGTATATCGTCTTCAAGTTTTTGATTTTATAAGGAAAAAAACTCATGCCTGATGATGAATAGAAGACTATTCGTAAGTACTAGCATTTTAACATCAAATAAACTGAAAACTACAGACAACAAGTTTATCAACGAGGATCAACTCGCACTATGGATGAACAGTATTTTAATGCATATATTATGCTTTCTAGCGATGGATGTCGCCAATAATCGCATTAATACTTCTGATTGATTCTATGTGTGATTATTTCTTTGCATATATATATATATATATATATATATATATATAAAATGTGTGTTTATGGCTTTCATTTCTGTTATTTTTTTATTACAACCCTCTTTAAAGTCATCTATTTTTGAACAAAGATAAAAGCTAGATTAAAAAGAATAAAAACTTGTAATTCCAACGGATAATTCATTGTTAAAACAGATATCTTTCGGAAAGCTTTTGCAATCCTTGATCACTCTTGAGAAATTAATGAAACAGTGACTACATTACATTGCATACATTATAAATCCAAATTAAAAAAAAAAAAAACATTTGATCAAATTGAGTTCACAAGACATTTATTTCTCAAGAGTGATCAAAGATTGCAAAAGATTTCCAAAATATATCTGTTTTACCAATAAATTATCTGTTGGAATTACAAGTTTTTATTCTTTTTAATTCAACTTCACCAACGGAATAAAGTGTTTTTACAATTATAAAGATAAAAGCTACTTTATTTCAAAAACAAGGAGATTAAAAAATGCTATAGAAAAAGGACACAAGCATAATTGTTTTTGCAAGTACTACTTCTTCTGTGTGCCATGTTCCTTCAGGACGTGGGTGATCATGGCTCTCCACAATTTCCTGTCCTTTGTAGCCCTTAGGAATAATTTTTTTTTTTTTTTTTTTTGCTATATTTCCTAATCCCTGTTCTGCCAAACATTTACACACGCTCCTTAGGTTAGGCACTGCTTGTCTCTATCTCTCTCTTGGTTTCATTATTTCTTGTGAGTATCAAATTTTCCAAGCTTACTTTCCTTATTACATGTCCTAAAAATTTCAACTGACTCTTTCTGTTGCTCTATATAAGTATCCTTTTTGTCTCCATTTCTTCTGAAACTTCATCATTTCTCACATGTTCAGTCCATGGTATTCTCAGCATCCTTCTGTAGAGCCTCATTTCTTTTACCCCATCTCTTCTCAATCCATGATGAGATGGCTCTACATTGATTGCCATATAGGAGTACCGATATTGCATAACAATTCAATACTCTTTTCTTCGTTTCCAGCAGCTTACGATTATATCACATTGTAACACCGGTTCCTGTACAATCATTGAAGCTAAGCAACATTGATCCTGGTCAGTACCTGGATAGGTGACTGCTTGGGAATGCTAGGTGCTATAAACTTGGATGTGTGAGTGGTGTAATGAATAATGGCTCGGAATTTTTAACCAGAGAGCTAAATTCCAATTCTAATTTTGTTCGTTATATTCATTTACATGCAAATACCCTTAGGAAAATTACAAATCAACATCTTCTCCCTCCCAGCTATGGGTTAATTAGTAAGACTTGTATCACAAAATCCTAATTATCTCAAAAAAAATTCTTACTATCTAAAACTATTTTCTTGCTTTAAATAACCTGCAAAGGGTTGATGAGCTATAAAAAATGAATCAATCAATTAATCAAATACTGATTATCTACACAAGCAATGGCATATAGATATATAGAAACTACCCTGGCCACAAAGTGAGGGATCAGTTTATAGACTGATTGTAATATAGAATTGATCCCTGATTTTATATACACATTATAATGTTTGTTTACCAAACTATGATTAGATATGAATCCACCTTTTCTAGACCCCCAGCTATGGGTTAATTAGCAAGACTTGTATCAGTAAATCAGAATTATCTCAAAAAACAAATTCTTACTAACGAAAAATATTTTCTGACTTTAAATAACCTGCAATGGGTTGATAAGCCGTAAAAAATGAATAAATCAAAAGAATCTTTGTTTCCAGCGAAATTTTCCTGTTTCTTAATACTTTGCTTACCCTTTTGAAGACATCTCTCACTATCCCATTGGGTCTTCAGATTTCAGTGTCACATTGTCCGTCTTCTGTTGAAACACTTCCTAGATATTTAAATATTTGCACTTGTTCAATTTTGGCGCCTCCAATTTGTAATTCACATGTTGGGCTGTTTCTTTTGCCGATAACTATGCATTCTGTCTTCTTACAGTTGACGTTTCAGGCAAGTGCTCACCAGTCATTTAATATATACATTCTCTGGCCCAATCCACGTCAGCACCTGGTAACGTGTACTTAGTTGGCCACCTAATTCCACCACGTTCACTTTGACTTGCTATAGAGGGCCTTGAGAATTTGGAGTATCTGTTTATTATTTTCATGTTGTAGCATTTTGGTGTTGTCAACAGGTACTTTCCTGTGTCGTGAAGATGGACAGGAATGTGTTTTTAAATGTTGTGCAATAGAACTTGTATCTGAAAAATGAAGTGTAAGACTTCTTGATAATGTTGTGGTTGTCAAACCAACATATGTACTTTTTTGTCTGAGAAATAATCACACAAAGGATATTTAAACTGATATGCAATGTTGGTCTTTTCCAAAATACTAGTTAGAGGAGAAGCGGTATTGCATATGATTTAGTTAGTTGTGTTAAATTTAGTATAGTATATAATTATTTTGTTGAGTTTTAGTTCGTTGCTTTTGATATAAAAGACCTCAAGAATTTGTAGTTTTTGTTATTTTTGTGGTGTAGTATACTGGTGTAGTCAACATGTATTTTCCTGTATTGTGAAGGTGGACAGGGATCTGTTTTTAGATGTTGTGCAATAGAAAAACTGCAGCACCTCCCTTGATGAATTTCATCTTAACATCATGAAACTGATTAGAGAACTGGAAAAGATTGGTATAAAAATAAATAGATATATGTCTATATTATTCAATGAAACATGTTTGAATGAAGACATGATATTAAAATTAAATATAGACCTGGAGTTTTTTAATTGAGATCGAATAAATAAGAATATTCAATTTTCTCCAGGTCTGGTAAAAACTGGTTCTCTGGGAACCCTACCAGAATCACAGGTGATAGTGAATTGATGATTTGCTAAATTACTTAAATTATTTTCTCTGTTTAATGTGCGCTTTAAGTTGCACTAAGGTAACAATACGTCCAAAGTTACCTGTCTTTAAATAACTATTTCTAAAAACGTTTTTGAAAATCTTTTGACATTAAAATATTTTTTTTTTCATAATTGTTTCAGATCGTTACCAAATGTCGAACATGAAGGTAAATATTTTTTTTTTATTTTATCTTATTTTATTTCATTGAGATCTTAAATTATGATCTGTATTTATGTATTCTAGAATAAAACAATAATTTTTTGAATATGTTGTTTTTTTTTTGTTTTTTTTTTCGGTGGCGACAGTGGTGAGGGGGTGGGTATTTCATAAGTTTCAGATATTTTTCAGTGTCTTTTATAAAAGGCTGTTCAGTCGCTAGATATCAACTCCTCCACTTAAAGCAATGACTCTCTTCAATTCAAATTTTCACAATAGAACAGCGGGCTCCACACAATAAGATAAAAGCCGACATTGGCAGTTTTTGAAACCCCTATGTCGTTTTCAACCTAATTAATTAATGTTATTTGTTCTTAAGCAGAAGATTAAATTCTCACATTTTTAATAAAAAAAAAAGAGGTTTAAGTCTAGAAACCCTAGTCTAAACTGAAGAACCAACGTTCACGAAAAGAGCTTAAATTTTGCATTTTACCCATTTAGGCTGCTTCTGGGAGCATTTCCAGTGCCAAAAGTGATTTCAGCACTCCCCAAAACATAGGAATAGAGGTCTAGATCATGATTTTCTGATGAATACTAGGAAAGTTATGAATGGTAATGTATAGCAGCTTGTATTGAGGAATCGGAGAGCCAAGTTCAAATTCCAGTTGAGCTCATTACATTCATTTAAATGCTAATATGCTTGAAAAAGGTATAAATCCATCTGTTCTCCTCCCAGCTATAGGTAAATAGCAGGACAGACTGAGTTCTATAGCTTGCGTCAAAATAAGTCTCGAAAGAAAATCTCTGAATTCAAAACCAGCCTGGAGAGAAAAAATAGAAACCCTGGTCTAAAGTGAAGATCTCAAAAAGATCATAAATTTTGCATTTAACCCATTTAGTTTTCTCTCGGGGGGTGGGGGGGATTTCCAGTGCCAAAAATGGATTCAGCATCTCCAAAAACATAGGAATAGAGGTCTAGATCATGATTTTCTGATAAATCCAAGGAAAGTTATGGGTAACAGTATAATGGATAACAGCTTGGATTGAGGATATCTGTATATTTCTGAGATGAGGTATTACGTACATTATTTACATTATTCGGACTATTGTCCTCATCTTTGTCGCCATATTTATTACAACGTTTTGGCCGTTGTACGCTCCAGCCTTCTTCAGGTTGTTGGAATGTCAAACTGAACCCTTTATTTCGCTCACAGGGGTAGACTGTTCTAGTTCCACGTGCCATGCTTAATGGATGTCAGTTATCAGTTATCTCCTGTTAATTTTCCCTCTAAAAGTTCTCCACTGTCTTAACCGGGTATTGAACTCACACTCTTTGGGTCCTTTCACTGGATCTAACCAACGCCTTTATCCACTGTGCCATGTGTCTTTGAGGACTGGATTGAGGAATCGGAGAGCTGAGTTCCAATTCCAGTTGGGTTTGATATCTTCACTTTTCACACAAATCTCCTTGCAAAAGGTATGAATCCACCTCTTCTCATCCCAGCTATATAGGGAAATAGCAGGACAGACTGAGTCCTATATCCTTGCGTGGCAACTGGTCTAGGAGAAGGAAAAACTGGAGAAAGTTTGGCACCATCAAGCTATCTTGCCCAAAACACACACCCACCTGCCTGCAATGGCTGCAGTACATGGCGTCCCTATGACTCTAATGGATTACGGATCTCATGGTCTTGATAATGGCGCTAAAAGGAGATAATAATATATTTAACATATGAAAGGTACTGTTAGACCAGTTCTGATATCCTGATATCTACTTCCAGATGAGATATAACACACATCACTTTGAAAAGCTTCCGAAAATGCAAAATTTCATTTTTTTTTTTTTTTACACCAACCATTCAGTTCGTTATTACCCATTTCAAAATGAAAAACGAAATGATAATAAGATTTCATTTACGGTGTAATTGTTTGTTTAACAGCATATCAACTCCTTATGAGTTATTTAATGCCAAAAGTTAATTTTCTTGGTTGCTTTGAAGTAATAAAAATATGACAATTGAATTACATCATAGATGATACTCAGCTTTTATGCATACACATGTTTGTGGGGACATGATTACTAGAGGCGGTGATATGTGTGTTTTATGTTGTAGTTTTGATGAAGTTATATTTTAAAGTACAGTTTGATTTCTTTTAAAAAATTTGTAGAATATTATATGGACTAATGTCATAAAAGAGTTTTTCATGTTGGTAGTTTGGCTGGTTGATTTTGTTTACCAGCATATCAACATCTGTATGGGTTATTTAATGCTGAAATGTAAATATCTTCAATGCATTTGTATGCATTCAACTACAGATAAAATGTATTGTTGCTAATTTTACTATCGATCGGTGTTGTTGCTAATTTTCCTAGTGATCGGTGTTATTTTACTAGCGATTGTTGTTGTTGTTGCTAATTTTACTATCGATCAGAGTTGTTGCTAATTTTACTATCGCGCAGTGTTCTTGCTAATGTTACTATCGATCGGTGTTGTTGCTAATTTTACTAGCTATCAGTGTTATTGTACTAGTGATTATTGTTGTTGTTGTTACTAATCTTACTATCGATCGGTGTTGATGCTAATTTTACTAGCGATCGGTGTTGTTGCTAATTTTACTAGCGATCGGTGTTATTTTACTAGCGATTGTTGTTGTTACTAATCTTACTATCGATCGGTGTTGTTGCTAATTTTACTATCCATCGCTGTTGTTGCTAATTTTACTATCAATCAGTGTTGTTGTTTATTTTACTATCAATCGGTGTTATTGGTATTATTTATATATAGGAAATGTATTGCTGGTATTTTAACTATAAAATGTATTCTAACACGTGCTACCATCCTGGGTGAGGGTAAACCTGGGAACAACAGCAGTTAAGAGGTGGTTCCACAATCCTCAAAATCTCCTGATCAGAGGCTTTGCTGCTAGATATGGTTTATTGTCATACACAGGACTTATGTGTAATAGAACTGATCAGGCAATATTGTCTTATTAAATGATTTTTTTAATCATAAGCAACTTTACTCGAATTTGACAAAATCATAAACAATTATCACCTGTCATCTGGCTCACATTCTTCCCCAGTCTTTTGAAC